GGTAAAGGTGAACCTTACAACGTTGATGTACATATATTTTGCGGAAGCCTTGCTTCAACGGTTTGCTCTGACCCTTCAAAACATATAAATTGGGATGGAGCACACTTAACTGAAGCAGCTTATAGGCTAATAGCAAAGGGAATAGTTGAGGGTCCTTTTACATCTCCTTCTCTTAAATCTCCTGCTTTCAAGATAACTAAAATTGACATAAGAATTAAGGGAAGCTTTACTTATTTTGATCAATTCAAAATTAGGATTTATGTTTCTTTTAAAAGTTTTTGTACATAAAAACCCCAATCAAGCCATATAACTTGAATGGGGATCTTGTGTTGTCCTTGCTATACTAGTTGTACTCCTAATTCTTTATGGAAAGGTTGTTCCTAATTAATATTTTTTTCTTAACTTTCATCTCCCTCCATGAAATCAATTCTATTTTTATAAAAAGTATAAAAATTTGAACCATGATACCATATATTATTATCTTTAACCATGGTGATTAATATTAATTTTTAAATATTTTTAATTACAAATTAACCAATCCATCAAGTTTCGAGAATACGCAAAAAAAAAATGTTGCCGATCTCAACTAATTTTATTTTATTTAATGATATCATCTCAAAATATCAACTCATTCAATTGCAATTGTATTTCTAATAAATCATTTTGTTCGTGATATCAAGTTGCACTAAAGGGTAGTTTACAAAAATTGTAATTTTATAAATGGGATGAGTTAAACTAAATGATGTTGACAATTTTCCGAGTTAGCATGTTTTGAAATAAATTACAAAAATGGGACAGTCAACACTAAACCTTGTATTTTTCATGCCACATAGATCATTTTTGTGTTTTATTTTGGCTAATGAATTATTAATGTTGAAGGACATCCTTGTAGAAAACAAAGGTCCCATTTGGTAAACTAAAAACCCAAATGGGACTTTCCTTTTCCACAAGTACTCCATGTAGGCATTGATGTGTTGAAATTGCAAATGACATACACGTTTTCTTTTAAATTTAATATTTAATTTTTTTATCCCTGATGGGACGTCAATGATTATCACGTAACAAAAACGTAAGCACCATTTGCATTTTCAACTTGTAATTATTTTTTTTTTAATTTTTAACAATTTGACACCAATGGCATGTCTTTAACTACCACTTGTATTTTCTATTATGATGTATCAATGTTGAAAATCTCTCATGGGAATTGCTTCAGAGAAAAAAAAATAAAGTTTATTCACCTATAAATATTACAAGAAATCATTTGTTCATTTCACATCTCTCGCAACTCAAGCTAATACTTTGTTTCTTTTATTATGTTACACATGAATTTTCTACTTGTCGTATTATATTGTGATATACAAATCACAATATTCAACAAAATTACACTTAAATAGGATGCTCCAAGATTATTATAAGTAGAGGAATGCATTACATTGGATGACTTGAAGAAATAAAAAACAAAGTCCATCCTTACATTGGATCTATAACTATCCAAGTTACAGAAGAAATCCATTATTGACACCCTGTATATAGATAGTACGATTGTACTTGTTAGTTAAGGTGATATTAAACTTATACATGACAATAGTGCGACATAAATATTTTTTGTCTTTCGTTAATTTTATATTATATGATTATACCTTTGAATTAAATCATTAATTCTCTTTGTCTAGGACGATTTGTAGAGGAAATTATAGAATGCTTATGTTGATTGATGTCTTCAACTAATTTGAAAAACAAAATCATTACAAGATATTCAGTAAGCCATGATAAAATGTTAGCAGTGTTATCATATTGAAAGAATTATCACTGCAATTGCTTTTAATATTAATTTTTTTATTTCAATGTATTTTTCTTTTTACATGGCAATGCATTAAAACTTTATTATCTTCCAATTATGTGTAATTGAAATTTTATTAACTTATGCACATGAAAAATAAAACATTATAATGATCTAATATTTTTCAAACTAATATAAACAATTTATACTAAAATAACGAAATACAAGTAAAATAGAAAATAAATGTTTTTATTCAACAAAGTTAATCCAATTTAACTAGAAATGTCGGTTCACCTTATGCATTTTGTTAAAATTAAATATTTTATTAAAATAAATAATAAATGTTGGATTACGTGTAAAAATATATTCATTCCTTGTTTGTGTAATTCAAATAGCAGTATTTTTTATAAGATATGTAATTTTACTTCATTTATAATACTTCATTTTAGTTAAAAATGGGTTTATAAGAACTATCATTCAAAATATCTCATTTTTTAGTGAATTTATACTAATGACAAAGTATATTTTGATAAAATATTTAACATGTAGCATCCTCATTAATGACATTGTTGATGTTGTAACTCCATTCTTAAACCCAGTCACAGTCTATAGAAATTATTTTTGATAACCATGGTTCACATTTTTACGAAAGGGTTAAAAGGAGGTTAAGTTTTAAAAAGAAAAAAAAAACTGATCAGTTTTACATTTTTTCATTTTTCTCACGTACGTTTTTTCGCTCCAGAGCTCGAAGATCTAGAAGGAGGATGAAACCACCCTAGATTTAAATATTCATCTTTTCTTCTTAACAAGGTAAGGGGGGAGTGAAAAACCTCGCTCTATGTGTGGGAATGTATGTTGGGTAGTGAGATTGATGTAACACCCCAATTTTCATACCATTTATTGAAGGTAATTTAGTAATTTTTCATAAATTTACAGGGGTGGTTTAGTAGCCTAGAACGGGCCGTTCCCAAATTGGAACGGGTCATACCAGTCTACTAAAACAAGGGTAATTTAGTAGCCCAGAATGTAATATCCTGAAATTTTTTTTACCAACATAATGATTAATTGTTATTATTATTTTTATATATGGAGATTAATTTCTTATGATTGTTTTAACAAATTAAATGGGTTTTATAAAATATTTTAGATGTTTTTAATGAATATGAATATTTTAATAATAATTATTTACGAAAAAATATTTTATATTTTAGTAGCCTAGAACGAGTCGTTCCCAAATTGGAACGGGCTGTTCAAACTACTAGAATGACATATAAATCTTACATCGAAATGGGTTGTTCCAAGACATGATTTTATGAGCAAAGTTTGAAACTAGAACGGGCCGTTCCGGTTGCATATTTTACATATGACTAATGAGTCCAAAACGGGCCATTCTGGTTGCATATTTTAGATATGACGAAGCCGCTCCAGATTTGGAACAGGCCGTTCTGGCCGCGGCCTAATGCCTATAAATAGAGCGTTTTGCACTCTCTAAAACTCATTTTTTCATTTTCTAATCTTTTTCCTCCTTTCTCTCTAAATACCAAGAGGAACCTAGAGGGGGCGACCAACAATATTCGACTCCTGCTTATCGAGGTAAGGGGGGAGTGAGAAATCTTGCTCTGGGTGTGGGAATATATATTGGGTAGTAGGATTGGCCCCCAATCCTATGTTTGTTTGTATTTAAAAATAAATGTATAATTTTAATATCTCTATGGGTTTCTATGGGAAACCCTAAGGAAATGCATTTGTAATTGTAATATATGATAAGATGTTTATTGTATGATTTAGAGTGCTCTGTATGAGAAATAGGCATATTTTCAATAATTTCTGTTCTACCTTCTAATTGTTCTGTTGTACTCCTTGCTATATAGGATGTATAAATGTGTATTTAATTATGCAAATAGATGAGTTTTAATACGAAATAAAGTGCTCTATGGAGATTGTGAATGAAATGTGATAATGAAATGTTATGATGAAATGTGATGACGAAATGTGATGATGCGATATGACCATGGGAAATGATAATGTGAATATGAGACATGATGATAATGAGACATGATAATCAGAATGCATAGAGTCTTGATTGACATGCATCATTTGCATAAATGTTTTAAGGGTACGATATGGAATACACCGCCAGAGAAGGCCCCCTTGTGTAAAAGCTTTGGGGATCAGTCCTTGGGGATAGCTCGATTTGTAAGTCCTAGTCTCGCCCATTGTGTGCATGGGATGTATCTTGTGCGGCTTAGCTATCCCGACGAGACTCTGGTAGTATGTCCTTCTAAGGAGAGTGCGTAGAGGGTGTGACCCGACATGTACTCCTAGACTACTCTTCGTGTATTGCTAGCGGCAATATGCCATGTGATATGTTACTGGCGCCACATGCATGATAATATGTAGTCCGTGTCCATACATATGCATTTTAATGTTATATGGTAAAGTGATGTTTTATGTCTTGGATGAGTGAGAGGTGATATTACTATCAATTTTTCTATGTTATATCTGTTTTGTTTGTGTTTGGCTATCTAGTATATATTTCTACACTATGAGCTAGAGTGAGATGTTTCTCACTCCCTTTTTCTTGTGTTATTTTCTTTGACTGTCTTACAGGTGATTACCAGCATGAGGCTGAGAATGTTGGTGATGAAGCTTAGGCTTCAATGTTGGGACTTGCTTTGATAGGACATGTGACATCGGGGTATAGATAGGATAGATTAGGATGTTTTATTAAATTATTCAGGGAGACCTTATATTATTCCTTTGTAATTCCGTTGAGTATAATACTGTTTAAGTTTATGAATGTGGTACCTTCTATTTAAACATGTTGGTATTTTAATTTTGAAATAGTTATGTTATTCAATTTTTGTTATTTGTATTATGGTGTGTGGGGTAGAGGGTGTCACATTTAGTGGTATTAGAGCACGGTTGATTCAAACTGGACTTGTGTGTTATGTGCTTATCATGATTTTGTTGTGTACTCTGATGATGTTTTATTTTGTGATGAATGCGGCTACTTTGTATTGTTAATGTTGGCTTAATTGTGTGTCTCTTTTCTTAGATCATGGCTGGTAGAAACGATCGTGCGATTGTTGATGCTCTTCAAGCGTTAGCACAAGCTATGAGTAATAATAATAAGGCTGGAGTCAATCCTAACTGGTTGGAGCAATTTTAGCAAAATCATCCACCTACCTCTAAAGGAGGATATGACCCAGATACTGCAATGAATTGGCTAATGGAGATTGAGAAGATCTTCAATGTGATGGAGTGTCCCCTCTCTCAAAAGGTGAGGTTGGCTACCTTCATGTTGACTGTTGATGCGCATTTTTAGTGGGAAGGAGCACTTCAGAGGATGATTGATGGAGGAGTGCACTTGAATTGGGATAATTTCAAGAGGGTCTTTCTCGAGAAGTATTTCCCGGATGATATGAGGAGTCAGAAGGAAGTGGAATCCTTGAGCTAAAGCAAGGGAATGATATAGTGGCAGATTATGTTGCCAAGTTTGATGCTTTGGTTCGCTATTGTACTCACTACCATGGTGAGGGTGGTGAAAGGGCTGAGTGCATTAAGTTCGTGAATGGCCTTCATCCTAAGGTGAAGACAACAATCAATTATCAAGAGATTTATCATTATCCAACGCTTGTCAACAAGTGTAGAATCTACGAACGTGACAACCGTGCGCGTGCTGCTTTTTACAAGGGAACTGGAGGTCCTATTCGTGCTGCAAGTTCTAGTGCTCTGGGTAAGAGTAAGCCTTACTCCGCTCCTGTCAAGTTTCAAGGAAATCATGCTAGAAGTAGACCTGTTGCTGGAAGTTTTCTCGTGAGCAATGCTGCTAGTGTAGGAGGCTCTATTTCTACACCTACGAGTCGATGCAAGAAATGTGGGCAACATGGGCATGAACACTATAGTTGTCCTGACAAGGAGATAACATGCTTCAATTAAAGTGGAAAGGGTCATATTAGCACTCAGTGTCCACAACCACCAAGGTAACACATGATGGGAATATGAGCTAGTTCTCAACCTAAGCGTTCAAAGACTATTGGAAGAGTATTTGCTCTTAGTGGTGCCGAAGCTGCGCAGTCTGATAATTTAATACAAGGTATTTTTTTCATAGCTGAGAATCCTTTAGTTGTACTATTCGATTCTGGTTCAACTCATTCCTTCATTTCCCTTGATTGTGTCCAAAAATTGAAATTGTTAGTGTCTTGTTTAAACTATGATCTGGTTGTAGAAACTCCCACAGATGGTCCCATAACTACTTCCAGTATTTGTCTTAAATGTCCAATTGTTATTTCTTAAAAATAGTTTCTAGTTGACCTTATCTGTTTGCCTCTTAGCCAACTAGATATCATTCTTGGAATGGACTGGTTATCTTCCAACCATGTCCTACTAAATTGCTTTGAGAAATCCATATCCTTTGGTGAGAGTAAGTGTGCGGAGTTTTTAAGTGCTAATAAGATAAAAACTTGTTTAAAAGAAAATGAAGAGGTTTACATGATTCTTGCCTGTTTGACACTTGAGAAAGACCGTGAGTTTAGTGAGATTCGCTTAGTGAATGAGTTTCCCGAAGTTTTCCCTAAGGACATGTCTAGCTTACCACTTGAGAGAGAAACTGAGTTTTCCATAGACTTAGTACCTGGAACTGCACCCATATCTATAGCACCTTATAGAATGTCCCCTAAGGAGTTAGCTGAACTCAAGAAACAAATAGAAGAGCTTCAAGAGAAACAATTCATTAGACCTAGTGTCTCACCTTGGGGAGCGCCTATTTTATTGGTTAAGAAGAAAGATGGGAGCATGAGGTTGTGCGTAGACTATAGGCAACTGAATAAAGTTACCATTAAGAATAAATATCCCTTACCTAGGATAGATGACCTTATGGACCAACTAGTTGGGGCTTGTGTGTTTAGTAAAATAGATTTGAGATCAGGTTTCCTTCAAATTTGGGTGAAATTTGAGGATATCCCAAAGACTGCTTTTAGGACTCGCTATGGTCACTATGAATATTTAGTTATGCCTTTTAGTGTGACTAATGTGCCTGGAGTATTCATGGATTATATGAATAGGATCTTTCACCCTTACTTGGATAGATTTGTAGTGGTCTTCATAGATGATATCCTAGTGTATTCCAAAACTAGGGAGGAGCATGTTGAGCATCTTAGGATTGTCCTTCAAACCCTTAAGCAGAATCATTTGTATGCTAAGTTGTCTAAGTGTGAATTTTGGCTTAATAGTGTAAGTTTTTTGGGACATGTGATCTCTAAGGGAGGAATAGTTGTAGATCCTTCTAAAGTAGAAAAGGTACTTGAGTGGAAAACACCTAAGTAAATTTTTGAGATTCAGAGTTTTCTAGGACTAGCTGGGTATTATAGGAGGTTTATAGAGGGTTTTTCTAAGTTAGCCTTACCTTTGACCAATTAACTAGGAAGAATCATCCTTTTGTGTGGGACTCTAAGTGTGAAGAGAACTTGTAGGAGCTTAAAAAGAGGTTAACTAGTGCCCCTATTTTAGTGTTAGTTGACCCTAGTGAAACCTTTGTAGTGAATTATGATGCCTCTAAGATGGGTTTAGGAGGGGTGCTTTTGTAGAAGGGAAAGGTAGTAGCTTATGCATCTAGGCAATTGAAAACCCATGAACAAAGCTACCCTACCCATGACCTTGAGTTAGCCGCAGTAGTATTTGTTCTTAAGTTATGGAGAAATTACTTGTTTGGGTCTAGATTTGAGGTTTTTAGTGACCATAAAAGCCTTAAGTACTTATTTGACCAAAAGGAATTGAATATGAGGAGAGGAGATGGTTAGAGTTCCTTAAGGATTATGACTTTCAATTGAATTACCACCCTAGCAAGGCTAATGTTGTAGCTGACGCTTTAAGTAGAAAATTCTTGAGAGTGTCTTCTTTAATGATTAAGGAGTTGCGTATGATTGAGGAGTTTAGAGATATGAGCTTAGTGTGTGAGCTGACCCCTAAGAGTATTAAGTTGGGAGCCTTGAGAGTGAATAATAGCTTGATAGATGAAATTAGAGAAGGTCAAAAGGTAGATCCTTTCTTATTGAGTCAAGTAAAGAAGTTGAATCAAAGTGTGGAGAGTGAGTTTAGAGTTAGAGTGGATGGAGTATTGAGATTTAAGGATAGGTTGTGTATTCCTAGTGTGCTTGAGCTTAAGAGAGCAATCCTAGAAGAAGGTCATAGGAGTAGCCCTAGTATCCATCCAGGAGCCACTAAGATGTACCAAGACCTTAGGAAGATGTTTTGGTGGCCTAAGATGAAGAGGGAAGTAGAAGAATTTGTGTATGCTTGCCTAGTATGTCAGAAAACTGAGGTAGAACACCATAAACCTTCAGGTCTATTACAACCTTTAGACGTGCCTGTGTGGAAATGGGATAGCATCTCTATGGATTTTGTAGTTGGGTTACCTAGGACAGTGAAGAACTTGGATGCTATATGGGTCATTGTGGATAGATTGACTAAGTCTGCCCATTTTATTCCCATTAACATTAGATACCCTTTGGAAAGGTTAACCAAGTTGTACATAGGTGAGATTGTGAGGTTGCATGGAGTTCCTACTAGTATAGTTTCTGATAGAGATCCTAGGTTCACCTCTAGATTCTGGGATAGCTTGCATAAGGCGTTAGGCACTAAGCTTAGGTTGAGTTCAGCCTATCATCCCCAAACAGATGGCCAAACTGAGAGAACCATACAATCTTTGGAAGACTTGTTGAGGGCTTGCATCTTAGAGCATGGGGGTAGTTGGGATAGCTTCCTACCTTTGATAGAATTTACCTACAATAATAGCTACCATTCCAGTATTGAGATGGCTCCCTATGAGGCTTTGTATGGTAGAAGATGTAGGACACCCTTATGTTGGGTAGAGCCTGGAGAGAATGTCATATTAGGACCTGAGATAGTTCAACAGACTACGAAAAAGGTTAGGATAATCTAGGATAAAATGAGAGCATCCTAGAGTAGGCAAAATAGCTACCATGATAAAAGACGGAAAGACTTGAGTTTTAAGAGGGAGACCATGTATTCCTTAAAGTAACTCCTTGGACTGGAGTTGGCAGAGCACTTAAATCTCGCAAGTTTACTCCACGATTCATTGGTCCTTACCAAGTTCTTAAGAGAATTGGTGATGTAGCTTATCAAATTGCGTTACCTCCATCCCTATCAAATCTTCATAGTGTCTTTCATGTTTCCCAACTTAGAAAATACATTTATGACCCATCTCATATTGTTGAATCCGATAACATTCAGTTAAAGGATAACCTCACCTATGAAACTATACCTTTGAGGATTGAGGATAAGAGGGTAAAGCAACTAAGAGGTGAGGAAATTCCTTTAGTCAAGGTTGTTTGGGGAGGAAATGTTGAAGCAACTGCTACGTGGGAATTAGAAATTCAGATGCAAGAAACATATCCGCTTTTATTTGCTTCAGGTAATTTCGGGGACAAAATTTCTAAAAGGAAGGGAGAAATTTCTTGTGATTGTTTTAACAAATTAAATGGGTTTTATAAAATATTTTAGATGTTTTTAATGAATATGAATATTTTAATAATAATTATTTACGAAAAAATATTTTATATTTTAGTAGCCCAGAACGGGCCGTTCCAAACTACTAGAATTGCATATAAATCTTACATCAAAACCGGCCGTTCCAAGACATGATTTTATGAGAAAAGTTTGAAACCAGAACGGGCCACTTCGGTTTAAGAACGAGCCGTTCCAAGACATGATTTTATGAGCAAAGTTTGAACCCAGAACGGGCCGTTCCGATTTAAGAACGGGCCGTTCTGGTTTCATATTTTACATATGACTAATGAGTCCAGAACGAGCCATTCCGGTTGCATATTTTAGATATGACGAAGGAGTCCTGAATGAGCCATTCCGAATTTGGAACAGGCAATTCTGGCCGCAGCCTGATGCCTATAAATAGAGCGTTTTGCACTCTCTAAAACTCATTTTTTCATTTTCTAATCTTTTTCCTCCTTTCTCTCTGAAGACCAAGAGGAACCTAGAGGGGGCGACCAACAAGATTCGACCCCTGCTTATCGAGGTAAGGGGGGAGTGAGAAATCTTGCTCTGGGTGTGGGAATATATATTGGGTAGTGGGATTGGCCCCTAATCCTATGTTAGTTTGTATTTAAAAATAAATGTATAATTTTAATATCTCTATGGATTCCTATGGGAAACCCTAAGGAAATGCATTTGTAATTGTAAGAGATAATTATATGATAAGATGTTTATTGTAAGAATTAGAGTGCTCTGTATGAGAAATAGACATATTTTCAATAATTTCTATTTTACCTTCTGATTGTTCTGTTGTACTCCTTGTTGTATAAGATGTATAAATGTGTATTTAATTATGTAAATAGATGATTTTTAATACAGAATAAAGTGCTCTATGGAGATTGTGAATGAAATGTGATGATGAAATGTGATGACGAAATGTGATGATGCGATATGACCATGGGAAATGATAATGAGAATATGAGACATGATGATAATGAGACATGATAATCAGAATGCATAGAGTCTTGATTGACATGCATCATTTGCATAAATGTTTTAAGGGTACGATATGGAATACATCGCTAGAGAAGGCCCCCTAGTGTAAAAGCTTTGGGGATCAGTCATTGGGAATAGCTCAGTTTGTAAGTCCCAGTCTCGCCCATTGTGTGCAAGAGATGTATCTTGCGCGGCTTAGCTATCCCGACGAGACTCTAGTAGTATGTCCTTCTAGTGAGAGTGCGCAGAGGGTGTGACTCGGCATGTACTCCTAGACTACTCTTCGTGTATTGCTAGCGGCAATATGCCATGTGATATGTTACTGGCGCCACATGCATGATAATATGTAGTCCGTGTCCATGATGTTTTATGTCTTGGATGAGTGAGAGGTGATATTACTATCAATTTATCTATGTTATATCTGTTTTGTTTGTGTTTGGCTATCTAGTATATATTTCTACACTATGAGCTAGAGTGAGATGTTTCTCACTCCTTTTTGTTGTGTTATTTTCTTTGACTGTCTTACAGGTGATTACCAGCATGAGGCTGAGAATGTTGGTGATGAAGCTTAGGCTTGAATGTTCGGACTTGCTCTGATAGGACATATGACAATGGGGTATAGATAGGATAGATTAGGATGTTTTATTAAATTATTCAGGTAGACCTTATATTATTCCTTTGTAATTTCGTTGAGTAAAATATTGTTTAAGTTTATGATTGTGGTACCTTCTATTTAAACATGTTGGTATTTTAATTTTGAAATGATTATGTTATTCAATTTTTGATATTTGTATTAATTATGGTATGTGGGGTAGAGGGTGTTACACAAAACGGGTCGTTCCCAAGTTGGAACGGGCCATTCCAAACTACTAAAAAGGCCTATAACCCTAGTTGGGAATGGGCCGTTCCAAATATGGCCGTTATGGGTTAGATGCAACCCCAGAACGGGCCATTCTGGTTTGAGAACGGGCCGTTATGGATGTGAATTTTACACATAGTAAGAGTCCAGAACGGCCCGTTCCGGATTTGTAACGGGCCGTTTCGGCGACTCCTGATACCTATAAATAGAGCGCTCTAACACTCCCAAAAAGCACATTTCACTTCTGACTTCTTTTCTTCTACATTCTCTTCTTTTCTTCTACACTCTGAAAATCGAGGGGAACCCAGCGGAGGAGACCAACCAGATCCTGCTTAGTTTCAACTACTGCTTATCGAGGTACGGGAGAAAAGGGGATTATTTGTATGCAAAGTTACATGAGGGGATTGGGTAGAGGTTGAATCCCGTGGGATTATGGGTAATTTTAAAATTATTTCTGTTTGAGAAATTGATAATCCCATTAGATTTTGCATGTATTGAGGATTAGAAATATATATTTAATTTGTAAAAATGATGATCTAGGAGAGAGAACGAAATTGTAGAAAAGTGCTTGTGAGTTAGGTTTTGAAAAAATTGAGGGTTTTACTATTTGGGTTAAGATTCTATTAATTTGGTGATTTAATTTGGTTTTATGTTAATTTATAAATATTATTATTACATTATTTGGTAAAATTGATGATCTAGATGTGGATTCATGGTGAATTGCTTGAGGGGTATGTGAACCACTATTTTGTGTGGGTTTTGTGTATGTGTTGTGGAATTGAGTTGTGAATGTGAATGTGAATGTGATTGTCGTTCCTCACACTTGTGACCAGGGATGGCACGACCTCGGGAAAGAGATGCTACAGGCGTGACCTTGGTATAGGGTGGGATGTGTGAGGTAATTAATACTTATGTCGGGGGTGGCACGACCTCGAGCAAGAAATGCTATAAGCGTGACCTTGGCATGGTATGGGATGGGTGATTCCTCATGCTTATGTCGGGGGTGTCACGACCTTGGACAAGAGATGCTACAGGCGTGACCTTGGCATAGTTTTAATTGCAAGATTTGTGATAGATTGGTGTGATTGTGAAATTGTGATGTGAAGTTGATGCATGGTTGATAGAATTATGATATGTAGAAATGATTGTAAATATTTCATTATGTAATGAGTTATGATGAGATTACATTGTGGTGTGTTTGTATATGCTTTACATATAGATGTTTTCATTTCTTACCGTATAATTTGTGGATGTTTTAGGTGAGGAAGATTCGGCTATGAGTGGCATCTAGAATGCCAACAATTGAATTATGGGTATGCTCTGATATTGTGACATCGGGGCAGAGTATTTCTAGGACATGGATTTTATTTGTATATGGAGTTGTACTTATTATTTTGAAAACATTTTGTAACTTCTTATGTTTTATTTTCCAAGTTTCATTTTCAAAATATTTTGGATATTGAAAAAGAATTATGAAGGTTTTATGTGAACCCTTTTACCCACGTTGAAAACTTTATTCTTTAGCTTATTTACATTGTTACAATATATATGTGTTGGGGTAGTAAGGGTGTCACATTTCGTGCTATAAGAGCAGACCCATCCAATCGTCCGTGAGTTATGAGTCTACTAGGCTTGTTTGGTAGATGAATAATGGAATGAATTGATTGTGGAACTTGTTGATATGCTAGTATGATGATTGATTTTGTTATTTATTTAATTATAGTGTAATTGTTAACTCTTCTGTGGATCATAAAAGCAATGGCAGGAGGTAGGAATATTCGTCCAATGGCTGATGCTCTACAAGCGATGGCTCAGGCTCTTGGTACTTTGAACCAACGACCAGAGGTAGATTGGCTGGAGAGATTCCAGCAACATAATTCGCCAAGCTTCCGTGGAGGTTATAATCCTAATGGAGCTGCTGACTGGATTTTTGAGGTTGAAAAGATATTCCAAGCTATGGGATGTCCTTTGGTACAAAAGGTGACTTTGGCTGCCTTCATGCTTTCTGGAGAGGCTGGGGTCTGGTGGCAAGGTGCTTTGCAGAGAATGATGGCTGCCGGTACCCAAGTGAACTAGGAGAATTTCAAGCGGCTATTCATGGAGAAATACTTTCCACGAGATCTGAGATATCGAAAACAGGTGGAATTCCTTGAGTTGAAGCAAGGAGAGGATTCTGTGGTTGAGTATGTGACTAAGTTTGAAGACCTCGTTAGATTTTGTCCCATGTATGATGGTGTGGGTAATGAAGAGGACAAGTGTGTGAAGTTTGTGAGTGCTCTTCGCCCTGAGATCAAACAAGTCCTCAATTACCAAGGGATCACTGAATATCATGAATTGGTAAACAAGTGTCGAGTTTATGATGAGGAAAACTGTTCTAGAGTAACTCATTATAAGAGTGGAGGACCCATGAAGAATCATAATAAGTTTGGGTCATCTAGTAAGGGTAAACCTTACACCAAGTCTGTTGGGGAATCGGGTTCTAAAGTGAATAACCAAGGTTCTGTGCACCACAGGAACCAAGCTCCAATGGCTAGTCAAACTTCTAGAGGGGGAAGTGTGGGTTCTATTCCACACAACATCTGCTTCAACTGTGGGGAGCCAGGTTATAGGGCATATGAGTGTCAGGTTTCAAGAGTAATAACATGTTTTAACTATCAAGAGAAAGGACACAAAGCTCATGAATGCCCTAAGAACAAGAAAGGAACAACAAGAGTTGGAGGGAGCGCTAGCAAAGCTAGAGCGATAGGAATGGTGTTTGCCTTGAGTGGCGCTGAAGCTACTCAATCCGAAGACTTAATCCAGGATATGTGTTTCATCTATGGAACTCCTCTAATTTTTTTGTACGACTCTGGTGCAACTCACTCTTTGATATCACATGCGTGTGTGTCCAAGTTAAAATTACCTGTTTCTTCCTTGTCTTTTGAATTAATAGTAGAGACACCTGTAACATCCCGAATTTTTCTACTAGTACTACGAATAATTATTCATTATTTTTGTATTTATGAAGATTATTTCCTTATAATTATTTTGATTAATTAAATGGGTTTGATTGAATTTTTAAAGGTTTTTAATAATAATCATTTATGAAAATTATTTTTTTATAATATTATTAATTATGATATTTTGTTATAATTATTATTTGAAGAAAATCATGTTTTAAATTGTATTGATATTTTATTTTAATTTGATATATATATATGTTATTTATTTATTTATTAATTAGTAATTCTGGATTTTCATAGCCCTGGAACGGGCTGTTCCACTTTGGGACC